ACGGAGCAGAAAAGAAAGGTGATGTGCTGGAGCATCTTGATGTTCCACACAAGTTTAATCTTGCAAATCTTGTTTTTTTTTTTTTTTTTTTTTTTGTTCTTATGTTTGCTTGTTTTTCTTTTACAGCAAAGAAAAGAAAGTCAGACAAGGTGCTTTTATTCCCTCCTGCATAAATATGTTTGTTTTTGTTTTGTTTGTTATGGAAAATATGAATAAAGTAAGAAATTTCCATCTGGACTAAATATAATCACTTTTCTTTGTTTCTTTTTTATCCTCAGAATCCAAATTCACCAAGAAGATCCAAATCATTTAAGCATAAAAGCAGTAAGTAAACATTTACTACTATTTTTGTAATCATAAAAGTTAGATAAAAATATACGATTACAAAACCTCTATTTTATTTTTCTTAAAAACTTCAAATTCACAATTACAGTAGACAAATATTTGATTCAAAAAGACCTTCATACTGAAAGGTTTATAATTAAAAGGTGTGTACCAGTTTGACCCTGACCAAGTCTGGGTTTTATACTCTTGTGAAAAAGATAATAATTGTCAACGACCCCAAACTTTTGACATTTTTCAGGAATTTATCAATCGCAGATTAGAAAAGTACTGGAAAGATAATTTTAAATTGTCAGTGAAACGTTGCCCAAAAGTTCTTTAAATGGTGTCTGTCTGCATGTTCAGCCCGTGCTTCTGTTTTTTTATCTATTCATATTCTGAAGTAAAAAAATACAGTCTGTATGGAAAGTTCTAGAATTTACACAATATAAAATAACTTGAAAATGGCAAACTTTCTACAAATTTTTACACCCATCATGAAATAAATTCAAAATAGCATTTTAAGACAAAGAAAGAGGGTTGTTTATATTATAGCATAGCATAAGATGAAATGTAACATAAAGGACAGAGCTCCATTACAGGGGAAATGTGTTCTATTCTTTTCTGATCTGGATAAGAAAGAAAATGGAATTAAAGTGTTTCAGTATTAATTGTATTCTTAGATTTTATTTCCATCGCAATCTCTCAAAGTCATATTTCTCAATCCTCCCATTTATCTGTTTGTTTGCCTGTCCATCCATTACCCATTTATCTATGCTTCCAATTATTGATCCATTTGTCCAGACATCCATCCATGCATTTCTCAGTCTGTCCATCTATCTCCCCGCTGCTTCAGTAATGTTTGTAGTTTCCCTTTTTAAATCCCTAACCCTTACAGAACTATCTGCACATGTCCTTATATCTTAAAGGTATATTGGAGGATGTTCGTTTTCCAGGTGGATCATCTAAATAAGTGGTCCTCTTAATTGTCAATCATTCTGGTGATATGTTCACGTAAGGCCGTCCTATGTGCTCGTCCCCATTTTCACTGTTTTCACCTAACCCTATGCTGAGAAATACCTGGCTGCCCAGAATTACCTCCCCTCTCTCACACTGAAGGACTGAAACAAATTGAAATATGAATGAAAAGAGCTTTTAAACATATTATTAATGTTTTCATATTTCTTATTCATGGATGCCCTAAAATGTATAGTTTTGGTGGACGGATAAATTTGAATGAATATGATTTTTACTTGTATAGAGACACGTTTTAGTCGATGAGCTACAGTCAGTGTCCGATGAATATGTTCTCTGCTCAGTGGATAGCAATTTCCGCTTTTTCTATCGACACCATTCCATATCATTTCTGACAAATCAATAAGAATATGTTTAAAATTTCCCCCATATTTCAATCTTTTTTCCCATCAATATGCAAGAGTTTAGTGCGATGCATGCTCCTGCGACAGGGGAGGTATTCCTTGGCATCTATCTGTCTACCAAAACTCTCAATTTTAGGGCACCCATGCATAAGAAATATGAAAACATAATATCTTTAAAAGTTCCCTTTTCATACGTATTTCAATCCGTTTTCTCATCAGCGTGCGAGAGGGGAGGTATTTCTCAGCATAACATGGTGGTGAGTCTGACATGGTGTAATATTGCAAATCCTCTTTTGGAAGTAAGCTTGTATGAGCGATGCAAACAGCAACTTATAAACAGAGCATGCACGAGGAGAAATGGGCTTGTGCATGCTCTCACACACGTTTAGTAAGGTGTTCTCTCTCTGGAGCAGGTACAGGGTTGTGTATGTGTATTTTTTTTTTAAAGTGGAGAGGGATGGTCTTTTCAAAAAATCATGAAAATCCTCCATTATATCTTTAAAGTTAGCCTACAAAGGGTTCTAGAAAAGTCTAAAATGACTTTGAGCTCGAACATGTACAGAAGCCCTGATGAGCTTTGGAATTCTCAACTAGCTTCACCAGCTCTGCCTTTTATCCAACTGTTTCACAGGTACAGCAAGTAAGACCAATCAAGACAATGAAGCTCATGCAACGCCCAAAGACTCGTACATTGCCTCTTCAAGGCCTGTGGGTAGGGACAGGGGGTAATCTTTAATATGGGTTTGCAGCTGATAAACAGCATTTGTTTTTATTTTGGTTGATACACAGAGCTGCTTATTGTGCAACAGTTTGCATTGTAAGTAGAATGGAGGAAGCAGTTAAAATCTTAATGTGGACTGTATCTGTATGTGCAGAATTACTTTTTAAAGTTCTCGGTTTTACTTAGATTTTGTTAGTTTTAAATACATTAGTCCAATGTATGCCACACCCTCTAATCATAATGACAACCCAGCCAAAAATGGGTGAAATGTCTTTTTATTGCAGAATCACAGCTATAAATATTGCTGAAATCAGTAAAGAAGAGTTTTTACTTTGTAATCCATAAATGTCTATTTCTCTAGGGTATATTGTTCACTTTAACCACTCTAAAAATGAGATGGGCAATAAAACAACTTTAATTTAAAAACAGAAATGTGTTGATATCCATAGATGGAAAAGTTGAAGGTTTGTTTTGCTACCAAGGAAGATAAGGAAGGGAAAAAGTTTCCAAAGCTTCTCATCAGAGAACTTCGGCATCTTAGTGGCTCCAAGCCTCCATAACAACCATTAGAGACAACAGGCTTTTATGGAATCTCTTATCAGGAAATCAAATGTATTCAGACCTTCCATCACAAGTGTAAATAATCAGTTAAATCCTGGAGGACCTTTAATTGGAACTAAGGGTTATGGTCAGATTAGGCTGAGCTTCTCAGCAACAAACACTGAGTTTGAATTGAAGGATAAATGTGTAAGAAATGGCGTCATGCTTACTGTTAGGCACAGGGACAATCATTGCAAGTTTTAAAATGAAAAATCATATTTCTTTAATCAATTTTTTTCCTAAAAACTAATATTTTTGCTACTAGGATTAAAAATGGATGCCTTTACATAAATATTTACCAGTTTATTAAAACTTATTTTAATCACTGAAAAAGGATACTTGTAGGGGACTTTGTTTCTCTGGTTTCTGCACCAAAATAATCTTCTTCCCTCTAAAAAGTGTAAAACGTTACCATGTTAAATTCTACAAAAATGTATGCAAGCCTGTTTCTGCCACATGAAAGTTTAAAAAATGCTAATTAGAAAGTCATAACTATGAGATTCAAAGCTGAGATGGGGGATCTGGAGTCAACAAGTCATCTCTTTGTCATGTATTTGTTCTTCCCAGCTACTGAACCAGGTGAGTCCAATCTAGTTTAACCTGTGCAGATTGGACTCACCTGGTCAGAACAAATACATGACATAGAGATGACTTGATGACTCCAGATCCCCCATCTCTGATTCAAAGTCACAATTTCGAATCTCAAATTCATAATTATGAGATATTTGGCATTCAAACTTATGTATCTTATAATTAATGCTTTGAAACTCAAAATTATGACTTTGTATCTCATAATTATGGCTTTCAAAGTCGTAATTATGTCTCAGTATCTCATTATTATGATTTTGAATCTCATAATTATGACTTTGACAGTCGTAATTATGAGATCCAGTCATAATTACGACTGTCAAAGTCATAATTATGAGATTTAGCCCGAAATTATGACTTTGTAATGACTTTGTAACTCATAATTATGACTTTGAAAGTCATAATTATGACTAACTCATAATTATGATTTTGTGTCTCATAATTATGACTTTCTATTTGGCATTTTTTGATTTTCATGTGGCGGAAATGGGCTTCCATAAAAATGTAGCCTCTGATGTGATTTTTATTTTACACTTAGAAAATTACACGATTTAAACAAATCTTTTTTGCCAATTTACCAACTGTTGCATTTATCCTATACAGTTATTTATTTTTCAGATTTCCCGCTAGCAATAATTAGATATTGAATTATGATGCACAATTAGTCAGATCTTTAATGACAATACTGTTTTTCATATGCTAGAAACAAATGAGTGACTTCCTGCTTTTTATTTCTGCACAGGCATGATGGGTCCTAGACGTCGTATAGAGAACCAGGAGAGTCCCCGCATGCTGATGAAAGACGAGGCTTTCTCACAGTAATGCACTTGGCCGCAAACACACCTTGAACTGTGCAAATGAACGCGCACAGGCAGAGAAAACAAGGGAAAGGAGGAGCGCCTCAGCTTCGGTTCCTAAAGTCGAGCCGGCTGACATTGACCTTATCGGTGACATTTGTGGTGTTTGCTGCTCTGCAGGAGCAATCCTGAACTCTCAATTTGTTCTTAATGGATCTGTTTTAGTTTTAATCACAGAATCATTGAACCAAACAATGTTTTCCCTTTTTTTTTTTTTTTAAATAGTGAGTATCGTGTATAATTTCTCTGCACACCTTAAGAATCAAGGAACGATTCATTGGCTGAGTGCAGACAGTTGTATTTAGTGCAAATATCTGCACACATTGTTTTTTTTTTTAAGAAAGAAAAGATCAGGCTATAGGTGAGCTGAAATCTCTTTTGTTTTTTTTAAAGTAAATTTGATTATTTAAGAGTTGGTGTCAAAGACAATCATTAAAAATGGTTTGTCTTTTGTTTTCCCATTCTTCATCAGGGGTTGTAGATTTTCAGTTCACAATGTGAGCAGCTCTGTTTTTGCTCACCTGAGGAAAATGGTTTAGAAATGTCCAGTAAATAAACCTCTAATTTTGGAAACAGGCAGGTTGCCTGCAGGAAGCAGGTTTCTTTTGGTTTGTCTTTCAGTGGATAGACTCTGCTTGTTTTTTTTAGCATTCAAATATGTCTCTGTATTATGTTTACATTGTAAAGGGCCACATATGTCCTTGGTGTGATGTGATAGTGTAAATATTCTAATAGTCCAATTGCTGCTCTCATGGCTCAGTTTGTTTTCATCTGTCTAGCATAATAAATGATTTGTAACCTGTCAGATGGCTCTGTAATTGTTTAACTAGAACGTAGTGACCAGTAGGGGGCATCCCTTATCACAAGAGCTACACTAATCACCAATTCAGTCTGGTTTTGTTTTGAGACATCTCACTCCTTTGTGGCTGTTTAATAAATGCAAGAAGATTCTGTAGTTTTTCAAAAATAGATAAAAGATTCTGTTTGTGTTTTGAGCCCAAACCTCATCCTCTTCATCTTTTTTGCAATTCTATACTTGGTTTAAAGAAGGGTTATGTTCTGAACTGAAACTACATGCAGGGAAATACTTGAATCAAACCTGTTCTTCAAAAGACCCTAGACTGAGAAAACAGACTTCCAATTAGATGATAACCCCAAACATACAGTCAGAGCTTTGATATAATTGTTTAGAGCAAAGCATTTATGGTTTCTATTAAGGTTTAGTCCACGTGTGTCAGACCTCCAGTCCTCGAGGACAGGTGTCCTGAAACTTTAAGATGTCTGCTTCAGGATACCCTCAATTATATGGTCCATAGCAGGACTTTGCAGAGCTTCATTTTGGCTTTAATTAAGCCATTTGATTCAATTATGTTTAACCACAGACGTATGTAAAAGTTGCATGATACTAGCCCCTGAGGACTTTAGATTGACATCCCTGGGTCACACTTTGTCAGATTTGTAAAATGTATTTTTATTGATGCTCTCAATGCAATCCGTCAGCTTGTTTAAAGCTGTTAGTAGCAGACCCTAAAAGACAGATGGAACTCCTGGAGAAAGGTGGTTTCAAGTCGATTATAGAAAATTGTAAAACTCTAACCAACACCCTATGGAAGACCAATGCTACCATAATTAAAAATAAATACAAAAATAAATAAATGCTCCAAAAATAATTAAGCATACAATTAACCCCCCCCCCCCAAAAAAAAAAAAAAAAAAAAAAAAAAAAAAAAAAAAAAAAAAAAAAAAAACAAGATTTGCAAGATTAAACTTGTGTGGAACATCAAGATGCTCCAGCACATCACCTTTCTTTTCTGCTCCGTAGGACCAGTCGTTATCATTGACATCGTCATTATCTTCTTGGTCACTCTCTGATTTGTTATTGGTGTTGTTACCAGTAACTATTCTGTGAAACAGTGAGAGACGAAACAAGCAACAACTGGAAGTGAATTACAGCTGAAAACAAAACACAATTCATTGTGAAACCATGTCATAGTTTTAGTGCTAAAATATATTGTTGAATGTACAACTCAAATTCTACATGTGAATCTCTCTGGATACACAGTGGGGTAACTAAGCCTTTTAATGAGACACTTATAGAATATATCAACAACCAAGACAATGCTAATTTGAGCTTCCCGTTTTCTCAACAGACCTGCGATTTGCTATGCGGCTGCTGTTGCGTCCCATCCCGAGACATTTCTCAAGGTGTGGGGCGAAGCGGGAGGCAGCGATGCTCCGGCTGCAGTTGGGACAAACACACTCCTTGTTTTTCCACTGGTTGTACACTTGGCCAAACACATCCAGGCCAGGCTGGTCCACAATTTCTGAAATAGGTACAAATCAAGCACTTTGAATAAATCTGCAACAAAATCTCACCTTAAAGATTTTAGGAAAAAGGCTGCTTATAATCTAGGAATATTTATTTGTTGTGTGTTTTCTGGCACCATTAAAAATAAATACATCAATCTTACATTAGTGTTATCCTGTGTGCAATTATTATCTGACCTGAATCCTTTTTCAGCCATGGTTTTAATTGTTCCAGCTGTTTAATAATTGAGATAATTTTGGCAAGCAAATTTTATTTTTCTGTTTTCATATCCCGACTAATTAAAAAAAAAAAAAAAAAAAAAACACACTGTCTTTCCTATCTTTAAGAAGAACTTGGAAGAAGAAATGGCCTTTGTGTCAAATCATTTTTAAATATTAGGTAAACAGAAAGTCATGGAGGGACTGTTAAAAGTAAAAACAAAACAAAAAAACAACAATTACATTTGGAGAGTAAAGTAAAAATGCTTAGTCACGGATTTCAAAATATGTTGTACAACTGTTTTTGTATGTGGTATTTCTTTCTGATAACATTATTTAGGTTAAATAATGTGATCAGTAATAAGCTCGGATTTTCTTTAGTTTTGTAGGATAAGATTATGCCAATGCAATTTATACTTTATAGCCTCTCAACTGCAGTCAAAGGTATTGCAAAGAATTTTCGCGAATTTTGTAAAAGACCCTCTCCACTTTAAAAAAATGCACAACCCTGTACCAGCTACAGAGAGGGAACGAGAGCTCTCTGCGCAAAGCATTCCGGGATGTGTCTGCCTATTTTGATGCCCTCCTTTTCTTCTCATACACTTCATAGACACTTCTTCTCTTGTGACCCTCAGCCATTTTCAAAGAATCAGGGTGAGAAAGGTGAGCTTCAATGACTGTCTGAAACCGTAGCTCAGCACAGATATACACCTGGAAGTGCACATGGGCAGAAAAAGATAGCTAATAGCATGTGGGTGTCCTTGCTTAAACACATCACCAAAATGATTGAAAATCAGGTGGACGACTTATTTAGATGATCCACCAGGAAATAAAAGATTGTCCTCTATACCTTTAACGATTAATCGATTACTAAATTAGTTGACGATTATTTCAATAATTGATTAAACACAATTAGTCCGATTAATTGTTTCAGCCCTAGTTAATATTATACTTTAATGTTTCATTTGACAGTCTCCTATATTCTGAATATTTCCCTTTAAGAAAGGGAAAACATTATTTTTTCCAAATAAGGGAAAATAAATTGTCCTTACCAAAGTCCCTCATGCTTTCTTGGTCCGTGTCATCCAGGAAGAAATAGCCCTGTTTCACAGCCCGGTGGACCTCAAAGCAAAGACCCAGGCATGCATCCTCCACCAGGTCAGACAGGATGTCCTGAGCCAGGGCCTGCCAGGGAGGACATGTGTTTCTATTCATAAGGAACTCTGCAATTTGTCTGACGAGTTTTATTGTGATGTGAAAAGTATTTACCCCATACTAATTTACTTTTTTTTTTCCTAATCTCACACATGTTTGAGATATAACCAGAAATAAATTATTAAAATTATTGCAAAAACATTTTACTTTTTTTTTTTTTATAAAAAGGAGGAAAACTTTACAAACTTTATGTGCTCCGTCTTTCGTATTGTTAATCCATTGTTAGCCCTAAGGATTAGCAATCTGTGGAGCTTTAGATGTTCTGAGGACTGGTGACCTCCTAGATGAGCTGTCAAATTGCTGTTTGAGTAACTTTAGTAGGTATTGCACTCCTTGAACCGTTTTCCAAATGCATTCATTTGTGAAGAATGGCTTGCTGGTGTATCAAAGCCTTAGAAATGGCTTTGTTATCCCTTCCTGACAGATGTTGATGGAGTCATATTTCCTTCGGGCCGAATTTATTTAGACTGAGTCATGATTCGTTGCTTTTGGAGATTATTTATAGATTATGTTTTTAAAATATCTTGATGCTATATTATCAACCACTATTCCTGGTCATACATTTAAACAAAAATTTTTGTTTTTCCACTCTTAATCTATGACAAACTATGGGAAATCCTACATTTCAATAAGTTGGTTGGATACATTTGAATTGAAATGAGTGAAATTTTTTTGCTTCCATTTGCGATATTACAAGATTTTGGATGAGCTGATCCATTCAGGGGCGGAGCTAGATGGGGGCCAGGGGTGGCAATGGCCACCCTTAGCCAATCATTGGCCACCCCTGTGGCCACCCCTACCATTTGTTCCCTCTAATACAGATGGTGGCAGCAGTAATACACTCAAGTGGAATATTCAAAACATTACAATTTTTTGTGGTTAATTATACACAACAATATACTTACATCAAATGTGATAAATACAGAATTCATGCTCTTTTCAGAACTAGATTTTGTGTTATATTGGGTAAAGAGAAAATGTGTCTCTGTAAGTCATTTGGGAGCCTTCAGTGAAATCATAGATAAATAACAATTTTAATAAAAAGTTATTATATCATCAATTGATGTAGATATTAGTACTTGGAAATATCAATTTAATAAAGAATGTTTATTTATACAAAGTAGGGAATTAATGACGATGGAAAAGATTTACGCCCCAGATCTTAAAACTGAAAGAATTTTATCTACTATACCTTTTATTTAGAAAGCACGAATGTTTAAATATATGCGTTTACTTCTTAGCAAAGGCTGTACGAAAGTAAATTTTGTCTTTATTTAGAAAATATGGATGTTTTGCTCGTTAATTTTCCTGTTAGAACAGTGGAGATCAGAAGTCACGGATTAGCGGACTGCAGTTCTGATCCGGACCCACCTGCTGGCTAATCTGGACCCAACCTGATTTAAAACATTTAGCACACGTTGTCTGACAACAGTGTCTAAATGTCACTTGCGCCGCTTCTCCTGTTACCCCGAAATCCCTCATCCTCCGTCTCCGCTCCGCCCCACAGCGCTCCAGACCTCCTGCTCAACGCAAAGCCTACAGCCTCTGCTGTTCCTCCCATATTGCTGCGCCTGGCTTATCCTCGGAGCTCGAAGAGAGCATGTGCGATACCATCATTAAATTTGTAGGAGCAAAACATGCAGAAATGGACACTTAATTTAATATTTAAAAAAACCCAAATCAGCATCCAGCATATGTGCGGTTTCTGATGGAGATGAGAAATCTGCATCCTGGTCTGTTGAAGTACCAATAGTTTGCATCCAATCTTTTAAATAAACGGTGTTAGTTTTTAAAAAATCTATAAGAATTATGCTCTAATTTGTTGTTACTATATTTTAATTTGACAACCCAGAACTTCTTGCTGTTTTTTTCCCTGTTTGGTGTGATTGCAATAGCTGATCTTGACCTGGCCGGACCGGAGCCTGAACATTTAGAGTATGTCTGGCTAAACCTGCTGCTGTGAAGCAGGATTCTCCACCTTGAACAGAATCAATAATAAATATCAATCCAGGCTCAAAATGAGCACCTTGATATGTACTTGAGAATGGCTTTGTCTCCATTCAAACCCAGGTTTAAAGCCTTGCAGGGCAGCCTAAAGCCCACTGCTCTCATTAAACCAGAAAAAAGAAAGAAAAATAACAAACAGTCACTTCAGGTGTTTTATAAAATATGTGAATTAGGAAATTGTCTATATACCAAACTGAATGATTATTGTCCTCTACTTCAAAGAACACTTTAGATTTTAAAATGGAAAAATGTTAGCCTGGTAAACAAAATTAAATGTGAGATTAAATGTGTTATTTAGTCTGGCCCCAATTAATGAAATATCGGAAGATTGTTGATGAGAACAACCCGTTGATTTTCAAACCGCTGTCTGTGCCTATTAGCCAACGCTCTGACCAATGAGCGCAGCTCACTGTGACGTAGTAAGCGCGAAAGAAAGCTGGTGGGGGAGTGTAAACAAACAGCATGTTGGTAAAACTGCGAATTCGTCCTTCTTAAAAATGAATGAGCGTAGAGCCTCTTCCTGCTAGTCTAATCATTCCAAAACTGATTCCAAAGCTGCGTCAAAAATCGCCATCAGAGCCAGCGGTCCTTCACACACAACTATGCCGAGAGAGGGCCGCTGCAGACGGGCTGCAGTTAGCCCTGGCTGCCGTTAGCTTCACATGCTACTGTGTCGTGCAGCTTTGTCGTCCCGCCCTCAAAACCCCGCCCGCATCTCTGCTTTGTGATTGGCCCGTCAGTTCTAGGGCCTGGGGCATTGATCGAGGTTAGTCCAACACGCAGGCAAAAATTATTTTGGCCTCTGGCGGGTGGGGCTAGTTTACTAGGCTAGAAAAATTTTCTATTTTTTAATTTAATAAGTTAATGTATAACTTGGATGCATAAACAACTCATTTTATTTCAATGTTAAATTCTGTTTAAGGTAACAGATTATAATTAAAAATGTTTCCAGACCTTTACTGGTTGATGATTTTCTTTATTCGGACCCCGCTGATTTTTAATTGGTTTAACCCCGCTTTCGGCCACCCCTCAGTGTACATTGGTTATTACCTGGCCACCCTTATAAAAATGTTCTGGCTACGCCTCTGGATTCATTTAAATTTAAAGAAGATAAAACCAGGCAAATGTTTCTTTACAGCACTATTATGTTTACAAATTGCAGCTTTTCCTGCAAACTACCTCCAGCTTGCTGTTGTCCAGGCTGGACACCGAAAGCTCCTCCATTTTCATTTGCCAGATCCACCAGATGAGCAGACGTTGCTGTGGTCATGCTGTAGCGCAGCAAGCATTGGCCAAACCTGGGCTGCAGCAGGAGAGAAGCACAGTTAGCAGCACAGACACCACAGTCACTCACTGGGAATGGGATGCAGATACTCACCACTGAGCAGAGAGTCGCTTAACACACTCACAACCTGAGAACAAGCACACAAAACAAAACACAGGCTATCAGCAGAGTCCAAACACTGCGCTGCTTCAACCATTCAATGAAAGGAGCTTAGCTTGAACCTGGACGAAAACAAAGAGCGGCTATGAACAGGCTGGAGGTGCCGACAATACCAGGAGATAAACAGGAGGAGGACTGCGTCAACAGCTAATATGGCTACAAGGGAGGTGGGCAAAGATGCACAGCAGGGGGTCTTAAAAGCAGCGACACAAATATATATTTTTAATTGCTTCGCAGTTAAAGAAACATCCAACGGTAGCTAGGCAGCACGTCCCTGAACACACCACTGCTGCACTGCGGCTACCCGCCGCCCTGTTTGCTCTAAAATAACCCGCCAGCGAAAATACTGCTTTTATTTCCCAAAATAAAACCTTCTCCGCAGGGATTATCGCAACCACGTTCCCATAAAAACCTTAATTAAGTTTATTTACCTATTTCGACAGGCATCCATCTTTACTGGAATCAGACAGAAGCAATCGATCTCTGCGCTAGTTCCACCAATTCCCTCCTGTGCCGCACTGATTATCTTGCTGCCTTCATGCTGTTTTTTCTCCCCCCCACCACCGAATAACATAAATATAAAATACATGGGTGTTTATTTTTTCATGTACATGGTTAAAATTCTACTTGAACAGCCTAATTGAAGACATGTATGTTCAAATATGCACTAATATTCAACAATATCAGACAGAAGCAATGGATCGCCAGTCTCATCGATGCATCCCTTGTAATTATCACAGCACAGTCATCCTGTTCATAGTATGTTCAATTCAACTTGCCATTACATTTTTTAAATACAATTTAATCAGGGGCGAAGCTAGATGGGGGGCCCCAATCATTGGCCCCCCCTACCATTATTTCCCCCTCTAATATAGATGGTGGCAGCAGTAATATTCTCAAGTGAATATTCAAAAATTTGAAATTTTTTGTGGATAATTATACACATCAATATACCAACATCAAAGATGATAAATATAGAATTTATGCTCTTTTCAAAACTAGATTTTGTGTTATCAGGGAGTCCAGTGAAATCATAGATAAATAACAATTTTAATAAAAACTTATGAAATAATCAATTTATGTAGATATTAGTGTTTGTAAATATCAATTTTATGCAGAATGTTTATTGATACAAGTAGGTAAGTAATGACGATGGAAAAGATTAAGCCCCAGAACTCAAAACTGAAAGAATTTTATCCACTATACCATTTATTTAGAAAGCACGGTTGTTTACTCTAAATATATGCATCTATTTGTCAGCAAAGGCTGTAGGAAAGTATAGTTTGTCTTTTTTAGAGAATATGGATGTTTCGGCCACCCCTAAGTGTACATTGGTTAATGCCTGGCCACCCTTATAAAAATATTCTGGCTAAGCCTCTGAATTTAATAATTTGATAAATTTAAAATTGCGTCATGATAACCTTTAAAGTATAACAAAAAAATTATAATTTTACTGGTTTGGAGCCTTTTTTACATTGGAAACAAAAAGTTTTATAAAACCTTACAATGAGCATATTAAAATGTGATAGAGCATTTCTACACTTATAATACGATAGTTATAAGATATATTGCACATATAAAGCACAATCACCACGTGATTTTTAGGCAAATATAAACTCAGATGGTTTTATGCATAATTTAAGTCAGACTATGGATTCAACTAAATATTTGTATTAAGTTGTACTTTATTGTTCAAAATGCTGAAGGTTCTCAGTCATCCATGTCATAGTCATTCCATAAAATTAGAAAATAAAAACGATCCACTGGACTTTGTTTCCAAGTTTGAAGACATTTCGCTTCCAATCCAGGAAGTTTTTTTCCCAATTCCTGACATTTTGAATTGAAAAAACTTTCTGGGTGGGAATCGAAACGTCTTCAAACTTGTAAACAAAGTCTAGTGGATTGTTTCTTAACTTTTTGGGAATATTGTTGAAAATTTTTGTAATACATCCACAACATTCAACTTTCTGTACAACAGACAGCTTAGGCTTCATGGGAAAAAATTTTGTTTTTAAGGCATGTACCAGAGACAGAGATTAAACAGAAATTAAGTCTCAGAGTTTTCTTGGCTTCTCTTTTCCTCATTTGCTTATACTCCATACGCTTGTATAATTAAAGAAAAACAATAATTTAGCATAATTTAAACTCCACAAGCCAAATTAGTATTGCAGCCGGACATGTGCTTTCCTTCCTGAGCAGTGTCCCAACCTTGTGACGATTACTTCTAGCTGGTAAAGCACAGTTTGAAGAGGAGAAGTTGTCAGCTTATAGTGGGAACAATAATCTTTTCTCCAACGTTTTACCTGAAACCTGAGGATGTCCTAAAATGTACAAAACACTCAAACTCACCGGATCTCAAACCAGTGGGGAACCAAAAAAATATTTTCACCACAAACATTTATGACGCCCTTGCAGACACACTCACAAAAAATAAACAAATTGAGCCATTTCTTTCAAGAGATTAAGTATTCTAAATGCTGGTGCAGAAATAATTCAGTGAGGCACACAATAAAACGGTTTTGAATGAGGAAGTTATTACACATAAATGACAGTGTTGTAAAATAAGATAAATGAAAATACGAAAGTGTAGGAAAAAATTATTGGACTGGATTGTAGTGTTATTTAAATATTAAAACATTTTATGTAGAAACATTAAGATTAAATCTTCTCATAGGAAAATAGTTTAGATCAACTTTAAAAGTTTTAGATACACATCTGACATATTCTTGATGTGGTCATGCACCATTTCTTTCCCAAATGGCATATTTGTCCCAAAGGTGTGTACAGCCATACCATATGAGGCAGTTTTCTTTTTTATTTTATTTAACCTTTATTTTACCAGGAAGTCCCTTGAGATAAAATCTTTTTCGAGGGAGACCTGGCTGATCAAGAAGTTTATGCTATGCAGTTTGCTTTCTGTATCTGTTAAAAATATACATTTGTACATAGAGATCTGCAGATTAACAGATGTTAATGACCATTTGTCGAGGTCCTTTTCCTGCTCTAGAAAAGTTTTCTATTATGATGCTGATCACAGTTTTTCCATCTTACTTTAAAGAGGCCACTTCTTTTTACTCTAAATATGCATTATTTTCATTTAGAACTACACAGTATCCCGAGATCTGGTAATCTTCTGCGGTTCAACTTTAAAATAGTCTTTAATTTCATTATATATATATATATATATATATATATATATATATATATATATATATATATATATAAATAACACACACACACACAACCCAGTATCTTTAGGGTATTTTTATTCATTCATTCATTCATGCCCCATTCTATTAAAATAAAAACATTCAAATGCCTTCATGTGATTTTTTTTTTTATTTATCACATCCATTAAAATAGCAATTCTTCTTTTTTGACATTCTCAAAAACCTATTATAAAACATAAGTTGTTCCGTTGAAAGAATTTAAACCAAGAGAGTTCCATAAAATAAAAAATAACATTCTAATTTTCCTCTTTGACAGCAGATATTTTGACAGACAATTTGAATGCAGCTTTAAGTCATAGCAATGTGGATACAGTCAGGAACAGCCTTAAGCTATAAAACATAGCGTAAGTCTTCACAAGTAAACGTGTCATGTAGCGAACACCCGACCCCAGAAAAGAGAATAGTGTGGCTTTATTCAGCCTTCTAGTTGCATTTCTTTATCCTATGAAATTTAGCTGGTGATGCGTCTGAAAACCTAAGCTTTCCTTTTAACTCTATTCCAGTGTTTGTTGTTGATCAGCTCTGTTAGCATAACATCTCAAACATCTCGCCATCCTCCTCCTATGAAAGGGAAAGGCATAATTAGCATACTGGTGCAAACATCACTGATCATACAGACCTTTCATACGAGCAGCCCCACTAATGATGCATACAATACATTTGAATAAAGTCATATTTTAGGATGTTAGCCTAATTTCAAGGAGAAACACTCAACATTCTGGCCTTTGATCTAAGCATCATAAGTGGGGGTGTAAAAAAAAAATATTAAAAAACAGAATCCACATTGGTATCAATTGGCGGCAATTCTTATAAAACATATTCAATTCGTAATTTATACTTTGGATGTACAGCTAAGCGTGTAATCTTAGGATCAACAAGTTATTTAATTCCAAAATCCCTAAAAACTGACACAAAGGCGATGGGAAAGCTGTCTTTAAGAGCTGAGGGATCTCTGAATGATGGGGTGAGATTCGGCAAAGAGCAATCGTTAGTGATCCCCCACTGTGTGCACCTCAACTTTGTAAAGTGGAAAAATACAGTGTAAAAAGGATAATAAAATAAATGTAAGTAAATGAAATTTGACAGATTGAAATTATGCAGCTGTAATAAAAGATCAAATAAGCTGTGGAAAAAAACACCAGCTGGTTCCACGTAGTTGGGACTTGTTAGTGAAATAGTTTATCTACTAATTTATGTTAGGAACCATCAGCTTTACCTCACAATAGCTCCAAATATCTTCTTCATTTTCAATGCTGACATCACGCATGACTTCATCCTCTGAGTCCTTTGTACCAAAAAAATAAAGAAAACAAAATTACGAGTCGATTTGGGAAATTTTCTTTATTAAACATCTCTCAAAATGTCCCCATCAGCATAAAAACTCTATTTACATCCCAACTTACTGAAGGTTGAGACTGAAGTAGCTCCTCCCTGTCATACACCCTTTTTTTCTGGGCATCAAGGAATTTCCGTTTCTGCAACACCAGATTTAAAATGTATTCCCAAAAAAATGAAGTTCAGAAGCCTTAGAAACAGGAATTGTGAAACACTTACTCTGGGGTTTTGTTCTAAATATTCAGCTTGCTGTTCTGGGGTCAGCGTCTGCACAGAGAGGGAAAAATGGTCAATCTACTTCCCAGAACATTTTAGAAACCCAGCGTGAAGACGGACATTTTCTAAATACCTTGAACCACTTTTTCAGGTCATTTGAGTATTTTTCCATGTTTGCTTGAATCTGTCCTTTGTAACGTTCCTTCTCCCTTATAGGGAGCTTCTGCCACAGTTTCTTAACTTTAACCATACGATCTGAGTAATTGGAAATTGTCTCCTTCAAAATCTTCATCTGATCTTTGACAAAATACACATACACAGACCTGAAAATATAGAATAAAAAAAAAAAATTACTTAAACTGAATCTTTTAAAGAATATTTATGATAATTAGCTTTTTACTTACTGGCTTGGCATCTTGGGCTCGCCTGGCAACGCCCTCTACACAGAAATGACAAAAGAGACTTTAGGACTGAGTAACGTCGGATAAAAAAATGCAGAATAGCAACCGGCAGAGCCTCTTCCAAAGTATTCATACCCCTCTAACTTTTTATTTATTTATTGTACTTTGAAGATTACGGCTTACAGATTGTTTACAATATGAACAACGGTCAACAGGTAAAATGTCACCCTGAAATTCATCTCAGCTCAAACGACAACTTTAAAAAACAATATCCATATGCAGGGAAGTGACACATTTCTTCATTTTGTAACAAAGGAAACCTTTAAGTCGTTATCTTACCAAAGACTTCTGTAACTTGATTCCTCTTTTGATGATCCGCTCGCTCTCCATCGCATCAAACCTCTAAGGACACAAACAAAAAGTCACACAAAGGCTGTGCACTATATGGTGTCTACGGCATTTTAAATGAGTGGATGAAAAAGTAGTGGGGTTGAAATTTCCCACATTGGTGGTCACTAGACAAGCAGATTTACCCCAGAATGCCTCGCAAGGAGAGCTCTAATCGCAAGGTATTATGGGATTTGCTGTCACAGCGGCCCGCTGTCACCATTGGCTGTCGTTACACGTCAGAGGTGACAAATAAAGATGGAGCGGGCACCATATGGGGAGGCAGATTTATGTGACCAACAAGGAGCGAAAAGTAGTGACCAGCTGTTCGAACGGTCAGTTAACCGAGTTCACTATAAAGTCCACTATATAGTCCCTGATCTATATAGTGATTGAGGGGTTTAGAGGACAGGCGGACGTTCTGACTCAGCCAAACTCTGCCAACAACTCAAGAAAAGTCTCTTAACTTACCTCCAGATGTTCCATCAGCTTGTTATTATACTCAATATTCATCTGAAACAGTAATAAAAAATGTTTTTGTGTATTTTTAACAGCTCCTAAGAAAATACACATTATATTTTTAAACGTACCTCTTTACAGCGCGTGTTGTACTTCTCCTTCTCCGTTTCACTCAATTTTTTCCAGAGTTCGCTCATAACTTTGAACGCATTTGCTTTAGATGAAGACTTATGCTCTTCAGTATATTCCTTGAAAAACAGACTCACACCGTTTCTGAAGAAATAAGAAAAACAAAGAACATTAGACAAACCCAGAGTCCTTAATCAGCTACTTAATTTATCTGCAAATAATGAGGAAAATAAACAAAAAAAAACTGTGGCTCAGTTCTACATGGACCCAAACTTAGCTTTCAACATTTCAAAATATTCCTAAACGACAAAATATTTTGACTTTATGCAAATCAAATACAACATAAAATGAGAAAAGAAAACAAACAAAACAAAAGAGAGCTATATATTGCAAACTGTGTTAGAAAAGGAACCTATAAGTGTAAGGAAAAAAAGATTAAGCAATCAGCTGCAATCTTAAAAAGACCCTTTAATTGTTCCTAATAGCTGCTTAAAGGTGGATCCGAGTAACGACACCAGGAGCAGAAATCAGAGTGATATCAAGTTTGGTAAATCAGGGAGAAATGATCACTTACACTTTAAATGGGTGTTTTTCAGCTCTGCATTGTGGCTGGAAGGATTTTAAATAAAAGTTATGCAACATTTATACCTTTCTACACTAAGCCGGCTATTTCAAAGCAGATTTTAATAAAACACTCTCCAGGCAGATGATGCAGGTTTGCAACAGCTAAATCCCACTTAGCTAATTACTCTACATCCATATTTTAAGAGCCTTTGTTACTCAGAAGTACAACAGAAGGACTTAGTTGTGCATTTGCAACAAACAGTTTCTCTCCAGCTCACCAGATGTCACTGCTGACTTACTTTCAGCATAGCTGAGTCCTTGGTGTCACTGTAACAGATTTTCTAAGCACCAATTTCATGTATCACCACCAATTTCCATTATTTTGAAATCAATACTACATAAGATGAATCATGACTGTGTATAGATATGACACATGCCAATTAGTAGATTTTATATCCTATGGGTTTTTCACCAGAGACATCTCAATTTCAATGTTGTGGATTCACAACGTGTGCCCAAACAGGTACCAGTGGATGCTACATGCTTTATCTACTAGTTTGCCTATATTTTGAGCAACAGTTTAACAGAAACGTCCTTCTCAAGAGGTTTTGAGATGTCGGTGGAGAAAAAGTTTGAGAAAAACTTGTCTCTAATTTTATGAGAGAATTTTTTTTTTCGAATTTTGTTTTGTTAATTTTTGTTTGTGACATTCAAATAAAGTTAACGTCCATATCAGATTCAGTCTTCAGTGCTAATTTATCACTCCGGGCCACTGTTGCAAATCTGCAACATCCCAGAATTCATTGCATGTGAAGGTCTCTCTCAAAAAAAAGTCTGAATTGTATATGATTACCCCATATGGTCATTTTCTCCAAATATCAACTACAACTTATTTTGAGCCTGAGAGGGTTAATAAACATTTTTACAACTGAAATCTATGTTTTAAAGCAAGACTTCTTCAAATAGGAGGAGCTCGTAACTTGAAAGGATACTTACATTTTTTTATTGTCCAAAAATTTCAAATTAGCCCAGTAAATGTGTTCCAGGAATAATTTTTTTTTTTTTTAGAAGTTTAAAGTGATAGACGGACATTTGAAATGACCCTAAATGAGCTGGGTAATAAATAATGACCCATGAACAGCTATTTTCTGTGTTTCCTCTGTTAACTGTGACTAAAGCAATAAGTGGATGAAATAATAATAATAATAATAATAATAATAAGTGTATACTATGCTTTAGTTCCTATTTTCTGTTCATTCATTTCGGCTACTCAGGCTAAATATAATGTTTTCTAATACACCAATAAATGTCTCAAATAAGTGAAAATATTCACTTAGAGGGAGTGAAAACTTATACTTTCAGCTTTTTCCAAGATCCCAAAAAGGTAAGCTTTGCAGGAAACAAATCAATAAACCCACATCAGAAAAAATTTTTTTTTACTCGTTCTTGTAATGAATGTAACATAAACACAATGACACCCTTAAGAAAAGTCTGATGTTTTTTAAATGAAATAAAGATGCAAAATATAAGGAGAGTTGCTTACATTGGTGGTTTTTTAGGCAGACCATCTTCTTCCTATAGAAAAAGTGACAAAAAGGTATAGTTTTAGAAAAGTATGGACAGCACCTAAGATCATCTGCAGTTGGAACTGATTAAGTCCGCATTTACATTTTTTATCCAGTAAATCATGCAGGCAACATGTCCTGAATGAAAGTCTTACATTTAAATAGGATTTATTTTTCCACAAAGTTGTCCTAACTGGAGGTAGGTTGTTTTTTTTACTGAAAAACAAAATGGTTCACAATATAAATTTAGACCATCAGTTTTGCTAAATCAAACTTGCAGACAGGGATTTTATTTTATTTTTTTTTACCAAAAGTTATGCATCTCTCTCCTGTATTTCTTGAGTGCAAGGACGTGCTCCTTCTTATTCTGAACCTAGAGCATAGAGTAAAAGAATCCGTTACATTTTCAGCCATTCTGCTCTTTAATTTCATTATATTTCAACTTCTAGATGACTTACCTTCTGCTCATCTGGGAGTTTGTCATACATTTTGAATGCTTTCTTTGCAATCTTTGAAAAACTCAACTCAGGTTTTTTCTGCTTTATCAAAGAAAACTGTTTCCCCGAATAGACTATTCTCGGATGAGGAGGGGGTTTGGGGAACTCTGGGTAGATCTGCAAGAAAATCAAAAGTAGAAATCATGACAAAGAAGCAAAACATGCTGCTGTTCAGTTCATTTTGGGAACTGAATCAGTTCCCAGATTACAGCAGGATAAGAACTTGTAGTTTTAGATCTAAGGCTGAATTAGAGCAGACTTTAACTGACTTTATTATTTCATAGATCAGAATATATATTTTTGTGTAAAAATGGGATCCATTTAGACCATGTAAATGATTTCAGTTTTAATAAACAAGAAACTAGTTCCACAAAAAGCATCACATCAGCATTACAAGATTCTGGCACAATCAACTTAAAAACACAGGATTTCTTATCAAAGAAAGATGTTAAATATTACCAGGTTTTTATAAATCAGTAAAGCTATTCTGTTTAATTCAGACCTGACACAAACATGCACTCTCAACGAATGGGACTGCACTAACAATCAGATGTTAAAACAATGAAAAGTGACCATTTTCAGAGGTGGTCTGAGATGCTTTTACTTGGATCAGTTGGTGAACATTCTTGACTGTGATCTAATATGAGAACTATAATGATATACCTCTCAATACCAATTTTAGTCACCTGCTGTCAGTACTGCTCTTGATCATATGGTGAAGCTAGAACGTATATAAGTAGAAGAAATGCGCAGGATGGATCACGCTTCCAGACAGATCGGGTAGTGACAAACAACACAGGTGTGGCAGATGTACATCCTGACATGTCTCAGAAATAAATGGAAAGTTGAGTTCAAAATTGAAAACAAAGGAATTACATCTAAAGTAAGATTTTGATAATTTCAATAGATTTTACATTAAGTCTTGGAGCAGCTTACTGAGAGGCGTCGATTTCTGACTTAATCATATGGGTCACATTTTGGGGACAGGTTTAAACTGGACCTGAAAATCAATTTAAGAGCAATGGACACATTGCACATTGGACATTTACCTTTCTGTGGTTAAAAGGATCACAAATGGCCTCTTCAGCTTCGGCAACGAGCTCTGTGAGGCTCCGAAACTTGCGCATCTAAACAGAAACAACACATTTATCACACTCCATACAGTGAAATGATTTTTTTTTTACTTATTTTAAGTATATATATTTTTTTAGGTGTGTCTGTGCTAGATTAAAACAAAATAGTGTTGAATATCAAGTGGAAAGATTTTTTTCCCCCCAATATTACAATGTTCTTTTTTTTTTGCCTGTGTAGCCAAAAACCTTCAGAATTTAAATGGCCAGAAAATAGAATCTAGTTCTTATTGAGAAATGTATCCACTAGGGCCAAAAAACAATTAATCGTGATTAATCGATTATTGAAATAATCGTCAACTAATATAATATATCGTCAACTAATATATATATCGTCAACTAATATATATATATATATATATATATATATATATATATATATATGTGTGTGTGTGTGTGTGTGTAAATAAAGTTTCAATAAATTGATGTCATGTTACCCAAAGGGGGCAATGTAGCTCTGTTCATTTCCCTCGTGAGTTATTGTTTTATATATGAATAAGTTTGATTTAAATTCGTGATGAGTTGACCGTTTCCATGTAGCTCACCTTCATCATCACACTTTTCCACTTATTCTGGCATTCCTCAGGAGAATAGGGAGGAAACGCTACTTTATCCCAATCTACAGCAGAGAGAGCGATACGATAACCTCTCGTCTTCTCACTGTCTGGGATGTTGCTTCTAATAGAACCAATGAGCTTCAGGATGTTTGCAGTGCTCCACTCTATAGCCAATACACACATACAAGGAAAATAATCGGTTAATATTGATTTAACAAAAGAGTATTTTCATTTTCCAATTCAATTTACTCACCAGAATTTGCATCCATTTCATTTTCACTCATTTTTAAACCAAAGGGTCTTTCCTTTAAAAAGTTTTAAAAGTGTTAAAACACGTAGCTGAGCTAGTAAGCTTAAGGAGCAGATTAAAACCTCCAGAAGACTGATACCATCCACATGTCTCTCGTTACAGTTCTGAAAACACTCCTAAGGGTACTTTGCTCAAAACCGGAACCTTGCGGTGGGAAAGTCCAATCAAAACGTAGAACTGATAAACGTCACCAGAGCGCTAAAAAAATTAACCAATAAAAAGTTGTTTCTTGTTCTACTAGTTTATTAATGGTTGGCAAAGCACTGTAGAATGAGCATAGTCGCCACCTACTGGTGTGGAATTTGGCTTATCTTGATGTAAATTCCTAAGTCCTAAAAGATTAATTATTTTGCTTCCTTAAATACTGTATTTTCAACCGTCTCGTGTATCTGCTTTATTGCTTACCTTTTGACGTTACAATAGTGGTCACTTTCCCACATATAATGTAGTTACATCCACATCTTAATCTTGTTCCTCCCTTTTCCTTTTGATCCTATAAAAACTATATCCCTTCCTTCCTACTTTTATGCCAGCCTTTCAGCTAATGATAAATGCTGCCTCTAATTTACTATTATAGAATGTAACAATTTTAGATTTGCAATCTTTTATGTATTTTCCTTTACTTCCATTGAGCTGATACCCATAAAATACTAGTTAATCCCATCCACTTTATTTTGAATAATAAAAAAAAAAAAATTAATTCCTTCTTTATCTTTTACATTAAGGTTCATTACACTCATCCATTCACCTGATTTATTTTATACAATGCATCTTTGTCTTAACCGATCTGACAGGCTGTGACAATCAGTAGGGATTTTATTCCTTTACTTTTCTAACTTAAATTATAAAAAATAAGTATTCATCATTGTTATGGTTTTAAGAGTCAATTACCAGTAAAGAAAAACAAAAACAAAATATCCCCCCAAAAAAGACAAACATGTACACTGTTGCAGGAAACAAAAATGTTACACTCCAACAAGCAGGAGCTGATTTAGCCTTTAAAGCAGTTGGCCCCCTGACAGTGAATATTTTAATAAAACTGTTTTCAAAAGAATCAAGGATGTTCCTTTTCGGAACCTTTAAAATAGATTTGTAATTCAGCACTCCAGCTCATTACCTCATTTTAACAAAGGATTTTCAAAGTGGACTTAAGATGCGTCTTCTTTGCTTTGATTTGTTCTGTAGTTTATATAAAAACACTTGGTAAAATGACTTTTTGCAACTTTAAAGAAGAGTATTTCTTCTCCCCCTTGAATCTAATGGGACATCCAGGACCATTCAGCTGGAAAAGCAAATCAAAAAGAATAGTGTAAAGAAAATGATTTTATTTTTACACTGAGCATAGTAGCGGACAAATCTATAACATATGACCCAATGAACAACACAAAGATATATATAAATAAAATAAAGTCCAGATAAAAAAGCAAAGAATATTAACCATTTGCATCTTTTTTTACCTTTCATCTTTTAGGTATCTTTTTCAAAGCTTCATTAAAGGTGTTCACTTTAATCTGAAGTTGATTAACAATCTGAGAACAATGTCAAGACTACAGGCTTACAGGTCCACAATGGAGACATAATTCTTTCTAAAGAAAGTCTACCAAGTGGGAAATTCCTTTTTCCTTCATTGCATCAAGTCCATCCCTATATTCCGATAGCGCAGCCAGGTCTCTCAGCAGGTCAGACGATCTTTGGTTACACAGAGTCCCAGGTTGTGTTTTCTTTGGGCTTTCCATGACCGAAACCAGTTCATTGATCATTGTTATGGATTTAACAAGGGAAAACCTGTCTGTTATTAATCATACATGTCAAACATGTCGCTGCATTCTTCCTCTTCTGACTCTTCCACCTAATGATGAAAACATGATAATCAAACATAAGGAAATTTATCAGGTAAATTAATTAAAATGCATTTTATACATAAATAAAACAGGTATTTCTATTTATTATACAACCTTTTTTCCTCATTGTGTGACAAATTAGACTCAACGTTAGTAGTTTTTAGATCAGAATTATTTCTATTCAATAAATGCCATAATGGGAAATATTTTTTTTGTGATTTCAGGATGAAAACGTGAACTGAAAGCAAGGAAATTTTCAACTGTCATTTAGCTTGGGAAGGATACGGTGTCTGTGAACAGCTGGGAACATGTTTTATTGCAATATACAGGTGCTGGTCATAAAATTAGAATATCATGAAAAAGTAGATTGATTTCAGTAATTCCATTTAA